AGGCTCATAAAGCTAGACAATAATCTTGATTTTATGATTGTTTTCTTTTTCAATAAGAATCGCCTTTAAATTCAGCATCCTTTCAGGGAAGTAATCGAAATTATTCGAAAAGGCCGAAAAATAGGTCTACCTGAAGAACGGGAATGGTGAAGGCAGCTGTCTTTCCCGATCCGGTCTCCGCAAAGCCAAAGAAGTCCTTTCCCTCGATAGTGATTGAATGCTCTTCTACTCGATAGGAATCAGTTTGCTCCATTTCAACTCCACCGCCGTGTGCGCCATTTCAACCAAAATGATTTCAACCACCATTCATTGATAAAATTCAAAACGTTTCGAAATATCGATGCTTTCTTCCTCCATGAAAATCGACTTTTCTGCCGGTTTGTCATATAAGTTACGAATTTGGATAAGGTTCAAGATAGTTTGAGAGTGTTTTAGGCCGGTTTGTCATTAGGGTTACGAATTTGGATAAGGTTCAAGATAGTTTGAGAGTGTTTTAGGCCGGTTTCTGCCGGTTTGTCATTAGGGTAAGGAATTTGGATAAGGTTCAAGATAGTTTGAGAGTGTTTTAGGCCGGTTTCTGCCGGTTTGTCATTAGGGTTACGAATTTGGATAAGGTTCAAGATAGTTTGAGAGTGTTTTAGGCCGGTTTCTGCCGGTTTGTCATTAGGGTTACGAATTTGGATAAGGTTCAAGATAGTTTGAGAGTGTTTTAGGCCGGTTTCTGCCGGTTTGTCATTAGGGTAAGGAATTTGGATAAGGTTCAAGATAGTTTGAGAGTGTTTTAGGCCGGTTTCTGCCGGTTTGTCATTAGGGTTACGAATTTGGATAAGGTTCAAGATAGTTTGAGAGTGTTTTAGGCCGGTTTCTGCCGGTTTGTCATTAGGGTAAGGAATTTGGATAAGGTTCAAGATAGTTTGAGAGTGTTTTAGGCCGGTTTCTGCCGGTTTGTCATTAGGGTTACGAATTTGGATAAGGTTCAAGATAGTTTGAGAGTGTTTTAGGCCGGTTTCTGCCGGTTTGTCATTAGGGTAAGGAATTTGGATAAGGTTCAAGATAGTTTGAGAGTGTTTTAGGCCGGTTTCTGCCGGTTTGTCATTAGGGTTACGAATTTGGATAAGGTTCAAGATAGTTTGAGAGTGTTTTAGGCCGGTTTCTGCCGGTTTGTCATTAGGGTAAGGAATTTGGATAAGGTTCAAGATAGTTTGAGAGTGTTTTAGGCCGGTTTCTGCCGGTTTGTCATTAGGGTTACGAATTTGGATAAGGTTCAAGATAGTTTGAGAGTGTTTTAGGCCGGTTTCTGCCGGTTTGTCATTAGGGTAAGGAATTTGGATAAGGTTCAAGATAGTTTGAGAGTGTTTTAGGCCGGTTTCTGCCGGTTTGTCATTAGGGTTACGAATTTGGATAAGGTTCAAGATAGTTTGAGAGTGTTTTAGGCCGGTTTCTGCCGGTTTGTCATTAGGGTAAGGAATTTGGATAAGGTTCAAGATAGTTTGAGAGTGTTTTAGGCCGGTTTCTGCCGGTTTGTCATTAGGGTTACGAATTTGGATAAGGTTCAAGATAGTTTGAGAGTGTTTTAGGCCGGTTTCTGCCGGTTTGTCATTAGGGTAAGGAATTTGGATAAGGTTCAAGATAGTTTGAGAGTGTTTTAGGCCGGTTTCTGCCGGTTTGTCATTAGGGTTACGAATTTGGATAAGGTTCAAGATAGTTTGAGAGTGTTTTAGGCCGGTTTCTGCCGGTTTGTCATTAGGGTAAGGAATTTGGATAAGGTTCAAGATAGTTTGAGAGTGTTTTAGGCCGGTTTCTGCCGGTTTGTCATTAGGGTTACGAATTTGGATAAGGTTCAAGATAGTTTGAGAGTGTTTTAGGCCGGTTTCTGCCGGTTTGTCATTAGGGTTACGAATTTGGATAAGGTTCAAGATAGTTTGAGAGTGTTTTAGGCCGGTTTCTGCCGGTTTGTCATTAGGGTTACGAATTTGGATAAGGTTCAAGATAGTTTGAGAGTGTTTTAGGCCGGTTTCTGCCGGTTTGTCATTAGGGTAAGGAATTTGAATAAGGTTCAAGATAGTTTGAGAGTGTTTTAGGCCGGTTTCTGCCGGTTTGTCATTAGGGTAAGGAATTTGGATAAGGTTCAAGATAGTTTGAGAGTGTTTTAGGCCGGTTTCTGCCGGTTTGTCATTAGGGTTACGAATTTGGATAAGGTTCAAGATAGTTTGAGAGTGTTTTAGGCCGGTTTCTGCCGGTTTGTCATTAGGGTAAGGAATTTGGATAAGGTTCAAGATAGTTTGAGAGTGTTTTAGGCCGGTTTCTGCCGGTTTGTCATTAGGGTTACGAATTTGGATAAGGTTCAAGATAGTTTGAGAGTGTTTTAGGCCGGTTTCTGCCGGTTTGTCATTAGGGTAAGGAATTTGGATAAGGTTCAAGATAGTTTGAGAGTGTTTTAGGCCGGTTTCTGCCGGTTTGTCATTAGGGTTACGAATTTGGATAAGGTTCAAGATAGTTT